CTGGACCCTTCTTTTTTCTGAAGAAGGGTCCAGACCCGAAACGTCAGCTTTCCTGCTCCTCTGATGCTGTTTGGCCTGCTGTGTTCATCCAGCTCTACACCTTGTTATCTCAGATTCTCCAGTATCGGCAGTTCCTACTATCTCTGTACCATCAGTGTTACTGAGTTTCTTTACATGACTAATTATTCAAAGTGTATACAAATTTATATATGCTTAACCTTAATTTATGAAAAGACAGTGCCTTTTTCTTTTATGAGTAAAAATGCAATAATATTCAGAATAATACTTCTACAATTTTGTTTTGAAGAGAGGAATGATTTTCCATATTATTTATAAAGCATTATATTTATCAAACTCCCTTTTGCTAGGACCTCAATAATCTATTGGTACTTTTCGTGAAACAGTCCGAAAATTGCATGACTGCAATTGATTTTGGAGATTTCCTTTTCTTATAAACATTTGTTTCATGCTAACAGGGTCGATCCTTAATCTACAAAAAGTGCTGGTGAATATTATCCCACAAGGAACATTGATCTATGTAACTCACAGTGTGCACCCCTTGTATAGAATTTCCCCCAAAATATTTGACAAGTAGAATTCCAATTCCACTGCTTCTACAAAAGCCAATGTATCCATAGCTAAAGTGCTTTCAATAACCCATTGTATTTTCTTAGCTCTGTAGGCTAAAGGGAAAGATTTTCCATTTCTGCCTACAAAATGATAGGGAAACTAGCTGCGCTCGGATACACTTCTATGAAGATTGACATGGAGAGTGGGAGTCTGTGGTGGAGAACCAAAATCAAAAGGCAAGGAGCCTGCCCATGTGTGTGACAACTTACCTCAAGCTAGTAATTTAAATGTCAGCAATGAACAAAGCAGTTCCGAGGGGCATCTCTTTAAGGTGGAAGGCAGGTGGTTTAGAGGGGATTTGAGAAAAAATAAAATTTCACTCAGTGGTGGGGGTCTGAAATGCACTGCCTGGGAGGGTAATTGAGGTAGAAAACCGCATAATCTTTTGAAAAGTTCTTGGATGACCACATGAAATGTTATAACATTCAAGGCAATGGGCCAAGTGCTAGAGCAGATTTTGCCAGTGCAGACTCAATGGGCCAAAGGGCCTGTTTTGTACTGAGATTCTGAAGTTTTGAAATCTTTTATACAGTGTGTTAAAGACCATCATATATCCCTCTATGGAATGACTGTTTGTTTTTTAAAAATCTATTCAAGTTTGACCATGCCTTGCAGGCATTCACTAGATCAATATTTTGGTGAATTTCATCCATGAAACTTAATAAAAGATCCAAACCTTCAGTATCCAACTGAGAATCTTTCAGCTGTCAAAATGCTTGTGATTTTACTGTTGTTAGGAAGTGAATATGCCATGGCCACACCTCTTCCCCTGCCCACTTCAGTTATAAAGGTTCAGGCTTTGAGAATATTGGTGGGTATTTATACCCTAATAATTTGCAGTTTTCTGCCATTCTTCAGAATTTTAATCTTCTGACTTAAAAAAAAAATCAAGGTGGGATCTTGACAGTCTGAGTGATTTGGGCTATGTTATGTTTTGAGGTAGAGTCAGATGATAAATTCAGTGAGGCCTTGACATCAGAAGCATCTTATTTTATCTTTTACACAAGTGATGAGGCAAGTTTCTTGCTAGACAGTGAGATTATTGCATGTTTAAATATCTTATTAACCCTGAATCTCACTTCATTAATATTCGACTTTCCACTTTATCCAAACTTGCTGAACAGGCTAGGCATTGAGAAACCGCAACATGGAAACTAGTTTGCGTTGACCAAATGGTATCTCGTGGCACAATCCACAGGCACTAGCCACATGTACCCCTCGTCCATGGACACTGCCATTCGGAATGTGCCAATCCCTCCGTCATTAGCGGGCCTCTCCCATTCGCTTGCAGTTTGCTCTGGAATTACAGACCTGCATTTCAGAGCACACCAGTAATTAGGAGCGAAAAGCTGCAGCATGGACACTTGCACGTAGGGACAAGCTCCCAGTTCATGGAATGGACCGGGGTACATCTCTGGGTGTTCGAATGCTGTCTCAGCGCTTGCTCACTTAGTGCCTACCTGTATGCTCACAGCATCCCTGCCTTGCCACTCTGTGCTGTGCCTACTAGTGCATTAGCACTTCAGCCAGAGCTAAAGGCTGTCAAGCTGCTTGTCAGTGGGGCTTCGTGGGGGGATTTCATCGAATCATAGAATCCCTACAGTGTGGAAGCAGGCCATTTGGCCCATCAAGTCCAAACCAAACCTCAGAAGAGCATCCCACCTAGATCAACCCTCCTACCCTATCCTTGTAACCCTAATTCACCTGGCCTGCATATCCCTGGACACTATGGGCAATTTAGCTTGGCCAATCCACCTAACCTGCACATTTTGTGGATTGTGAAAGGAAACCGGAGCACCCGGAGAAAACCGGAATTTGCACAGTTGCCTGAGGCTGGACTCGAACCCGGGTCTCTGGCGCTGTGGAGGCAGCAGTGCTAACCACTGAGCCACTGTACCACCCAATGATCATGACGAACAGAACATCCAGACATCAGTTCGATACCCTCAACATATGCCACCTTCCTGGCCAGCAAAAACAAATGGTTAAACAAATGTTTTTGGATGTGGGGGCGAAATTACTCGTGGTCGGGTGTTCCTGGTTCCATCAGGGGCACGGTCTGCACACGGTCCAGGGGTTTGGCCACGGTCAGTAATCCATTTGGGATGATCACGTTGATAACAGGAGCATTCAGTGGTCAGTCCTGTAGGGCCAGACACAGCAGTCAAAGTCTGGTCAGTGTAGGAAAGTCGATGTTTTGGTTCGGGACCCTTCAGAACTGGTCAGTGATGTTTAGGGGCTGCTCGTCAAAGTCAGACAGAGCTGTGGGGGGAGTTACAGTCCTAGGATTCCAGGATCCATTGATGTTTAAGAGGGTCTGGGGGGATCTGACAGGCAGCTGCAGGATCACTGCCAAAACTGGTAGGGGAGGAGAGGCTAGGGGTAGGAAACAGAAGAGAGGTGGGGAAAGGACAATGATGGAAGATGTTAAGCAGAATGGGGGGGGGGGGGGGGGGTGCCGGCTGTGCAAAACGGCATTGGAGGGCACCGTAGGCTGTGTGAGGGTGAGATCAATGGCAGTGACCACCTCTCTGGCCTCCGCAGGGAAGCAAAGAGGAGCAGGGTGCACATCAGTAATGCTGGTCTCAAAGAGCAGCGAAGACCGTTCTAGGTGAAATTGAAAACGATGGGTCTCCGTGTGAGGAGGGGAATGAGTGGAAATGGGCTTGTAGGATTTGTGTGAGGTTAAAGGGAACGTGGAGGCTTCCTGATATCTGGTGACCTGGAGAGATTGGTGATGATGGGGTCCATTTGTGAGCTGCATCCCCTGTGCATACTTTGCATTCTGTAGATGCGACATGCTACTTGAAGATGGTTGAGACAATGCCCAGGCTGGGATCTGTGCTTGCTGGATGTGAGGAGATTGAAGGAGCAAGTACATTAAGCAGCCATTTACAAATCACAGCTGAATTTAATTCGCAATCACTTCATCACCGATTGGCTATGTGTGCAGGGTAAAGGTACCTCCGGGTCAGACACTGGTCAGAGATGGTTTGTAACATGTTGTTGGTGCTTGCATGTGGAACGTAGGCATCTCAAGTATTTTGAAATCAGCTGAAATGATGTTACAAAAGGCCAGTGCTGGCTGAAGGCAAACCATTCTTTGTGCAACTTCTGAGCGTGCTGTCAGGGACGCACATCAGATGAAGTGAACAGTGGTCAGTAATGAATGCAATGAGAGGTGGAGTGTCTGTTGTGGATCTTGGATATGAAGGGTGTCAGTGCTGTAGGTATTCTTTGATCACAGGATGGTGTGAAGGGCTACTCAATGTGACCATGGCGCATGGCACCACTGACTCGGGACCATGATGGAGCAGACACTGGGGCTGCTGAAGATGTGATTTCACTGCTTACAACTTTCTTGGGTGTCTGGTACAATCCAGAGTGTGCAGCATCATCCTGGCTTGCTGCGCTCTGCACAATTGGAGCAGGCAGTGAAGTGACGTGACTGACGCTGAGGAACTTGGAGAATAGGAGCAGTCTTCCAAGGGCGTTGAGGAGGAGGGAGCTGTCATTTTCCATGATAGTTCAGTTGCATCAGATGCTACCAGTCAGATGGGACCTGACTGACAGCCAGTCCCAGTGGATGAGAGTTGGGTGCAGCAGACAATCGTGAACTGTAAAATATTCATTGGTCATGATTCCAAAATCTGGCTTGTACTGTCAGCCTCTATTTGAAGAAAAACAATCGAAAGAACTGCGGATGCTGGAAATCAGAAACAAAAACAAAAATTGCTAGAAAAACTCAGCTAGTTTGGCAGCATCTGTGGAGTTAGAAAGCAGAGTTAACATTTCGGGTCCAATGAGTGAACCTTCTTCAGAAGAATCTCGAAACTTTAACTCTGGCAGCATCTGTGGAGAGAAACAGAGTTTCTCCAGCATTTTCTGTTTTTGTTTCAGCCTCTATTGGTTTTATTTGTGTTTGCTTTTGCTGATTGACAAATGAAAAGCTCATGTTTGGACTTGACCGATTTGCTTGCCCATGTGTGATGTTCTCCTATTGGACAATGCCAGGCTATGGGTCACCAGTGGGCATTGATGACAGGGTAGTGCTGACTTAGAGGGTATTTGGATGGGTTGTAGCTAAGGGCAAGTAAGATGTGTGGCCTGGTGATTTAAACAGCAGCGAAGATGACAGAGGTGTTGTAAGCACAAAGGAATATCAGCCATGCTGGCTCTGTGCCATTGGTAGTATGCCTCTGTGACTGGTGTACCAACATGTTGCTCATGATGGTCAATGCTAGATTGCCAGCATATCTGGGTGGACAGTGCCCTTTTAAAGATGGCACAGATACAGGGGATGGTAGTCTATCTGCTGAGTGACACGTTGTTCAGGGAACAGCATGTGCTCAGCCTGGTGGGGCAAAAACAGACATGACAGATACCATAGGGGCTGGGTAAAAAGTTAATGAATTGTGTGTGATAGGCATGGCAAGAGAACTTGCTCAGCCTCGTGGTGTAATTCGATCCAAAAAAAACCCAAACCCACTTGGACTTCATTGAAAGAATGTCTGATTCAGCTGTTCGGTTTCTGACCTTCATCTCTGCGCAAAGATTCTACTATGTTGAACTTGTTATTTGCTGCTATGGGACTATAACGATCTTTACTCGGTTTTAGATTTATTTACAAAGTAAAACATTACAGTTCTTTAGCTCCCACCACCAGTGTCAGTAGTGTTTCTTTCTATTTGTTAGATTACAGCAATTAAAGAAATAATCTAATTAACTAGTAAGCCACCCCTTATGGCAGCATTGTAACCCAAAAAAAAACTGCAAAGGAAATTTATCAAATTACAATAACACTCCTGAGGCTAATGCACTCCAGATCTCTATCTCTTTAGTAAAGAATTAACAAACCAACAAATTAGCTAGTTGACAATCTATTCAAAGGGAACTGTAAGAATAAACTTTAAAGGAAGCTTAAATCAAAATAATGTTTTGGTAAGTGGTAATGCACTGCAGCCTCTGTAATTCTCACTAATCTCGGAGGGCCTCAAACAAAGCAGTCAACACTGTGTATTTCCTCTCTAACAACACTCGGGCATAGACGTACCACACCAGAGAGAGGCAGGCAGTTGGGTCGAACAATTCCGTCAACTGCCCAGTGCCTGGAATTGTTTATAGCCTATGAAAACCAAAAGAACTGCAGATGCTGGAAATCGGAGACAAAAATAGAAATTGCTGGAAAAGCTCAACAGGTCTGGCAGCATCTGTGGAGAGAAATCAGAGTTAATGTTTTGGGTCGAGTGAATTTCCTCAGAGCACAGGTCGCTCAACCTGAAATGTTAACTCTGATTTCTCACCACAGATGCTGCCAGACCTGCTCAGCTTTTCCAGCAATTTGTTTTTGTTTGTTGCCTCTTTGGACATAGCCGGGAACAAGCTAACTAAGAGGTGCTTTGATCTGCCCATCGCTCTCACTCCACAACAGGTGGCCAGAGTTCAGCAATGAGGCTGAAAGTGCAACCAAAGGTAAAGGAGTAGCCTCCTGAGATAGTCCAGGACGGGTGGCATTCTCACTCTTTGTAAATGTAGAACATTGTCTCCTCAGTGCTGCAGAGGTTATAGTCAGCCTTGGAGCAGTGAGTCTCCTGGATCTTTATTACATGGGACCGGTATATTTGACAATCTTGGGTATTTCTCATTTGAAAAGTTTGATTACCCAAAATTAGCGAACAGAAATAGATTGTGATGTTCATGGCATCTCATTCTCAGAACCAAATCATTAAGTTTAGAAAACTTAAGGTGCTTATCTGTACAACTTATCCAATGAGTAATCCCTGCTTGTATATCTATATCTATTCTTGGCACTTGAATTATTGTGTCTTGTAATTTTCCCAATTTTCTCCCCATTCTGAAAATATTGTTTCCTAATTTAGTAGAGATGCACATGCACAAGATATCCTCGGGTATCTCAGTCAATTGGCCATTCTTCATCTTTCAAGAAAGATGTTTATTATCAACTAAGTATTTGGACTTGGAGGACCATACCTGAGACAAACCTGTCGTCATACCAACTTTTCAGCTGGCTGCTAGATAACAATTGGAAACAGAAGCACTCCATTCTCTTGCCCCAAAAATCCTTCGTCTGCTCCTCCTTGAGCTGATTACTTTTCAGAAAAATCACAGGACTTTCCACTGCTTCCTTAAGAAAATGAGCTAGTCCATCCTGAATTGGTGTTAGAACCACCAATCTTTCTCAAATGTGTGGCTTAATTCTACACATCTTTGCAAATGAGCATTTTGAAAGTTTCTCATTCCGATTATTAGAAAATGTTTGCAGATCAAAGAGTTATTCTAGTCATTGAGGTTGGTTGGCTCGCCGAGCTGGTTTGTTGTTCCACAGACGTTTCGTTACCGTGCTTGGTAACATCCTCAGTGCAGCCTCTGATGAAGCGTCGGTGTGTTTTCCCGCCTGGTTTTTAAACGCCCTATTCACATCAATAGACATACCACTGACAAGGGAAACAATGACAACACTACTTGAACAAGAACACGACCCCAGTGAAACCATCTCCAAGGACAACATGCTTAAACTACTGGACCTATGCCTGACCACCCATTTCACCTTCAACGGCCAAACATACGAGCAAATCAACGGGACACCCAATGGGATTGCCTATCTCCGGACTCATAGCAGAAGCAGTGATGCAAAGACTGGAAAGGACTGCCCTTCCGCAAATCCAGCCTAAACTATGGATACGCTACGTAGACGACACCTTTGTCATCATTAAACGGACCAAATTAGAAGAGACACACAAACTCATAAACAACACCCTCACCGGAATAAAATTCACCAGAGAGGAGGAGAACAACAAACAACTCCCATTCCTGGACATCATGTTGGAGCGCAAGACAAATGGCGAACTGCAAACGAAAGTACACCAAAAAGCCATACACACAGACCAGGTATTGAACTTCAATAGTAACCATCCCAGCACACCCAAACAAAGCTACGTGCGAAAAGGGCAACAACACAATGCAGTAACATGGAACTATGCCAAGAGGAGGAGGAATACCTCTTCCAAGTGTTCAAGGATAATGGATATCCAAAGAACGGGGTCAGGAGATGCCTACAGGAACAGCATCAGAAAGATTCTACACGCCCCGACACACTCATCACACTACCCTACATCAGGAACACGTCAGAACTCACCACAAGACTTCTACGACCGCTGGGCATCAGAGTGGCACACAAACCCACATCAACCCTACGACAAGTACTCACCCGAACTAAAGACCCACTCCCTGCCATGGACAGGACCAATGTCATCTACAAGATCCCCTGCAGAGACTGCGAGAAACACTACATCGGACAAACAGGAAGGAAACTAACAACGATAGTACATGAACACCAACTGGCTACAAAAAGACACGACCAATACTCACTCATCTCAATCCACATGGACAAGGAGAACCATGACTTCGACTGGGACAACACCAAGATCCTGGGACAGGGTAGGCAGAGACAAGCATGAGAATTCCTGGAAGCATGGCACTCCACGAAGCAGGCTATTAATAAACACATTGAACTCGACCCCATATACATTCCACTATGGAGGAAACCCGGAAGTGAGGCAATCACATCACAACGAACCCCAGAGTTTAAAAACCAGGCGGGAAAACACACCGACGCTTCATCAGAGGCTGCACGGAGGATGTTACCAAGCACGGTAACGAAACGTCTATGGAACAACAAACCAGCTTGGCGAGCCAACCAACCTCAACACCCACAACCCGAGCTACAGATCTACTCCAAAACCTTAGAGTTATTCTAGTCATCATAATAATGTGAAGATAGTGTTCACATATTACAGCAAGAAGTTAGCATCACAATTTGTCTCTACCACTGCTTCTGGTTGTGCTGCTTGGGACTGAAGAGCTACCAGCCCTCCAGTTGGCCAGCAGCTCTTGGGGTGGTATTTTCATGCTTAAAGGGTGGTCAATAGAGAATTTCCCAAATCAGTACAGAATCATACTGGGGCTCCCAGAAATGGCCATTTTGCTTAGTTGCCCCTCTGGTTTCCGCTCTGCCATCACACCACTGTGTCAGCATTAAATTCCACTCCAAACATGCATTGGAATTCATGCTCTTGACATCCTCCGTTACCATAGACCCAAGTTTCAACAGCAACATCTTAAGATTCATAGATGGTAGCTCAATGAAAATAACTTCAGAAATGTTTCCTTCAAACTTTACTTTAAGTTTCGGAATGATTTTTTTTAAAGTATGTGTCGAGTTAGTTTTCCCCCCAGTTTTTTTTTTGCTGAAAGCCCAGTAAAATCATTCTGCCCCATTTCTAATTGTTGCATTGGAGACTGCTTTCGCATAAGCTTAAATCACAACTGAATCTAATGTGTGTTCTTGCTGTCTATAGCTTGAAAACTGCAACTATGTCATTGAACTGGGTAAAAACAAAGCTGCCTTCTCCCTTGTGGGTATTGGTGGGCAAGACCTGAATGATGGCAATCGAACACTTACACTGGCACTCATCTGGCAGCTCATGAGAAGGTGAGAGAATCCTCATTAATGCAGTGATGTATGTCTTTAAAACACAAATATTGTGCTTGCTTTTCAAATGTTTCTTTCAGGGGCTGTGTGGGGATTTGGAATTATACAGAAAATCTAAAGAATTAATATTCTTAAAGCTAAGCTCATTTGTTTCGAGAAATGTTCTTTGGCAAGATGTTAGGATAAATTGAATAAATAAATCTTGATTTATTTTTGCTTGTAAAGAGTTTATTGAACACAAATGCTTTGGTGATCATGAACAAATTAATTTACCTATAGCTTACTGTGGGCATGGATTTATATCCTCCATAATGCGAATTAAGGATGTAACAAACCTAGATTTGGTGGGATGGTAATAAGTGAGTGGGAATTATCTTAAGCTAGATCTATGAAATTCACATTCTAACTCAATGTGGTAGCACAGTGTGGAGCTGGAGGAACACAGCAGGCCAGGCAGCAGCAGAGGAGCAGGAAAATTGACGTTTTTGGTCGGGACCCTTCAGAAATGTGGGGTGGAAAGGGAGCTCAGAAATAAATAGAGAGGAGTGGGACTGGGGAAGGTAGGTGGAATGGTGATAGGTGAGTGCAGGTGGGGAGTGGTGGGGATTGGTCAGTGAGGTGGGAGTGGCGGATAGGTGGGAGAGAAGATGGACAGGTTGTGTTAGGTCAAGGAGGTGGGGATGAGACGGAGGGTTGGTCATGGGATGAGGCCGTGGGTGGGGAGATTTTGAAACTGGTAAACTCCACATTTAGGCCATTGGGCTGGAGGCTCCTGAGGCAGAATGTGAGGTGCTGCTTCTCCAGTTTGAGGGTGGCATCATTGTGACACTGGAGCAGGCCCATTATGGACATATCACTCAGGGAGTGGGAGGGGGAGTTGAAATGGTTTGCAACCAGAAGGTGTTGTCATTTGTCGCAAACAGAGTGCAGGTGCTCTACAAAGCGGTCTCTGAACTTCCACTTGGTCTCATCGATTTAGAGGAGGTCACGTCGGTTGTGGGGTTGGATTATAGGTGGCAGAAATGACGGAGAATGATACGTTGGATGCGGAGGTTAGTGGAGTGATATGTGAGGACAAGGAGGATTCTGTCTTTATTTCCCCCTTGTCCACACATCACCCCACTAATCTCCATATCCAACGTATCATTCTCTGCCACTTCCGCCACCTACAATCCGAGCCCACAACCAAAGATATATTTTCCTTCCCACCTCTGCCTGCCTTCCGTAGGAACCACTCTCTCTGCGACTTCCTCATCCACTCCACACTCCCCACTAGCCCCACCACCCCCGGCACCTTTCCCTGCAACTGCAGGAAGTGCTACACCTGCTCCTACACCTCCCCACTCACCTCCGTTCAAAGCACCAAACAAAACCTTCCACATTAGACAGAGGTTCACCTTCACATCCGTCAATGTAGTCTATTGCATCCGCTGCTTCCGACGTGGCCTCCTCTACATCGGTGAGACCAAGCGGAGGCTCAGAGACTGTTTTGTTGAGCACCTCCGCTCTGTTCACGGCAAATGACAACACCTTCCGGTCGTGAACCATTTCAACTACCCCTCCCACTCCCTGAGCGACACGTCCATCCTGGGCTGCCTCCAGTGTCACAATGACGCCACCCAGAAACTGGAGGAGCAGCACTTCATATTCTGCCTCGGGAGCCTAAAGCCCAGTGGATTAAATGTGGATTTTACCAGTTTCAAAATCTCCCCACCCTGGCCTCATCCCGTGACCAACCCTCCCCTCTCATGCCCACCTCCTTGACCTGACACAACCTGTCCATCTTCTCTCCCACCTATCCGCTCCTCCCACCTCACTGACCAATCCCCACCACTCCTACCTGCACTCACCTATCACCATCCCCTGTACCTTCCCCAGCCCCACCCCTCCTCACTCTATTTCTGAGTTCCCTTCTCCCCCCCACTCCATTTCTGAAAAAGGGTCTTAACCCGAAACATCAACTTTCCTGCTCCTCTGCCGCCTGGCCCGCTGTGTTCCTCCAGCTCCACGCCGTTATCTCTGACTCCAGCATCTGCAGTTCTTACTATCTCCAACTCAATGTGCCTTTTTTCTCAAAAGACTATTCAATGCAGCATGCACTGCATTCTAATTTGTGTCTGTGTCATCGTTATCCCATTCACTAACATGTTAAAACTTGTGCATATCCTTCTGAGCAGCTATACAACTGTTTTACAGATAGAAACTGCATTGCATTGTTTAAATAAAAAAAGGCTTCTGGAATGAAATAATTAAGAATCTGATTGATCAAGACAAAATATACTTTGCTTTTACACGATTTTTGTTTTTATCTCGGCTGAATTCCTTTGTAATAAATAGAGAAATTTTGAACACTAGATCTTTTGAATGCTAGATTTTCTTTCATTCAGGACTTGAAACAGTTACGTACACATCGTCCCAGGTTTGAAAAAGCATTTCCATCAGGGAAAGGTAAAAATGTGCTGCTGTAATTAATTTTTCATTACAAGATCCATTATCATGCATGCTCAATCTGATGGCAGGTTCTTGGCTCATTGTCTGCTTTTACATCATTGTGAACTGTTTCTTTTGCTTTTTTTTGTTAGTGGTAGTTTGCAGGTTCCAACTTTAGCTCTGGTGAACCTGAGCTGTTGGCATCATTCTGAACCACACACTAACCATCTTGCGAAAACAGTTGGCAGCATTTGTGGAGAGGGAACTGACATTTTGAGTCTGGTATGACTCCATTTCAACCATTCCAGACTCACAACATTTACTCTGTAACTTACCCCACAGATGCTGCTGGACCTACTGAGTTTCTCCTGCATTCTGTTTTTGTTTCAGATTTCCAGTATCTGCAGTATTTTGCCTGTATTGCAAACTGAGCTAACTAACATTGTTGGGGTATTTTAGTTCTATTTTCATTATTTTCACATTTCAAATATTTACATTTTTTCCAAAGTAGAATCTCTGACTCTAATCCATGGGTCATTTGATATGGCAGATTACGATGCCCTAGCCTGTAGTAAACAAATGAACAGGGATTTGGGTGAAGCGAGTTTATCTTTTGACCATTTCATCTTCCCTCCGTTTCTGTGGCAAAACACATTTGGTGACAAATTCTTCTCTCTAGATTTGAATGAAGTGCTACTCAGTTGTGGAATTGTAGTCATAGCATTGGAAACAGGCCCTTTGGTCCAACTAGTCCATGCTGACCATGCTCCCAAACTAGTCTCACCTGCCTGCGCTTGGCCCATATCCCTCCAAACCTTTCCTATTCGTGTACTTATCCAAATGTCTTTTAAATGTTTTAACTGTACCCACATTGCAACACTTCCTCTGGAAGTTCATTCCACACATGAATCACTTTGTAAATAAAAGTTGCCTTTCATGTCCTTTTAAAAATCTTTCTCCTCTTGCCTTAAAAATGTGTCCACAGTTTTGAATTCCTCCATCCCACGGTAAAGACCCTTGTCATTCACCTTATCTATGTCCCTCATGATTTTATAAACTCAAGGTCACTCCTCAACCTCCTATGTTCCAGTGGAAAAAGTCCCAGTTTTTCTAGTCTATTTTTATATCTTAAACCCTCCATTCCCGGCAATGTAGAAACATAGAAGATAGGAGCAGGAGGAGCCTGCTCTGCCATTCGAGCCTGCTCCGCCATTCTTCACAATCACGGCTGATCGTTCAACTCAATAGCCTAACCCTGCTTTCGCCCCATAACCTTTGATCCCATTCACCCCAAATGCTATATCTAGTCCCCTCTCGAATACATTCAATGTTTTGGTATCAACTATTTCCTGTGCTAATGAATTCCACAGGCTCACCACTCTTTGGGTGAAGAAATATCTCCCCATCTCCATCCTAAATGGTCAACCCGGAATTCTCATACTGTGACCCTGGTTCTGGACATACCCACCCTTGGGAACATCCTCCCTGTATCTACCCTGTCCAGTCCTGTCAGAATTTTTTAAGTCTCTATCGCGCCCCCCTCCAAATTCATCTCAACTCTAGCAAAAACAATCCTAACTTCAATCTCTCCACATACCTCAGACCTGCCATCCCCAGGATCAGCCTGGTAAACCTTTGTTGCACTCCCTTGACAGCAAGAGCATCATTTCTCAGAAAAGGAGACCAAAATGGCACACCATATTCCAGGTGTGGACTCACCAAGGCCCTGTACAACTGCAACAACACATCCTTGCTCCTGTCCTCGAAACCTATCGCAATGAAGGCCAACATACTATTTGCTTTCTTTACCACCTGCTGCACCTGCATGGTTGCCTTCAGTGACGGATGCCCAGGTCCCACTGCACACTCCCCTCTCCCAATTTACAGCCTTTCAGTCTGCCTTCTTGATTTTGCTTCCAAAGTGAATAACCTCACATTTATCCAAATTATACTGCATCCGCCATTGATTTGCCTACTTGACCAACCTGTTGAGATCATACTGAAGGATTTCTAGATCCTTGTCACAGTTCACCCTCCCACCCAAATTGGTATTATCTGCAAATCATTAATATATGTTGTGGATAGCTGGGGACCCCGTACTGATCCCTGTGGCACCCTACTAGTTACTGCCTGCCAATTTGAAAAGGACCCATTAATCCCTACTCTTTGTTTCCTCTCTGCCAACCAGTTTCCTATCCATCTGAATACAATTCCCCCAATACCATGCACTTTAATCTTGCATGTGGTGGTAGTGGAGTCAGATACATTAGGGACATTTAAACGACTCTTGGATAGGCACGTGGAGGATAGTAAAATGTAGGGTATGCAGGGTAATTTAATCTTAGTAGAATAGGCCGGCACAACATCGTGGGCCGAAGGGCCTGTACTGTGTTCTATGTGGGATGCCTTCTGAACGTGCAAATATACTACATCGACTGTCTCACCCTTGTCAACTCTGCTAGTTACATCTTCATAGTATTCCAACAGAGTTGTCAAGCACAATTTCCCCTTCATAAATCTATGCAGACTGCCTGATTCTGCCACTGCTTTCTAAATGCTCTGCTATAAAATCCTTGACAACGGATTCAAGAATTTTCCCCACTACCGATGTTAGGTTCACCTGTCTATAATTCCCTGTTTTCTCTCTACCTCTGTTTTTGAATATTGCTGTGATATTAGCCACCTTCCAAACTGCAGGGACGGTTCCAGAGTCTGTAAAATTGTGGAAGATGACCACCAATGCATCCACTATTTCTAGAGCTACTTCCTTAAGTACACTGGGATGTAGATTATCAGGCCCTGGGGATTTATCAGCCTTTAATCTCAACATTTTTCCCAGCACATTTCTCTACTAATATTGATCTCTCTCAGTTCTTCCCTCTCACTAAATCTTGCATCCTCCAACAATTCTAGTATCTGATTTGTGTCCTTTTTTTGTGAAGACAGAACCAAAGTATATATTCAGTTCTCCAGCCATTTCTTTGTCCCCTATTATATACTCCCCCATTTCTGTCTGTAGGGGACCTATGTTTGTCTTTACCAATCTCTTTCTCTTCACGTACCTGTAGAAACTTTTAGCATCAGTCTTTATGTTCCCTGCAATCTTACTATCGTACACTATTTTCCTCTTCTTAATCAATCCCTTGGTCCTTCTTTGCTGAATTCTAAATTGCTCCCAATCCTTAGATTTATTATTTTTCTTGGCCGATCTGTAGGCTTCTTCCTCGGATCGGATACTATCTCTTATTTCCTTTGCAAGCCATGGATTGGCCCTCTTCATTTTGCTTTTGCGACAGACAGGAATAAACAGTAGTTCCCCCATGTGTTCCTTGAATATTTGCCATTGCCTATCCACTGTCATCCCTTTTTAAGTAACTCTCCCCAATCTATCAAGGCCAACTCACGCCTCATATCCTCATGGTTTCATTTATTAAGGTTTAGTACCCTAGTCTCCGAATCAACAACCTCACTCTCCATCTTGATTAAAAAAAATTCTGTTGTGTTATGGTCGCTCATCCCCAAGGGGTCTTGCACAGCTAGATTGGCAATGATGCCCTTCTCATTACGCAGTACCCAGTCTAAGATGGGCTGCTCTCTAATTGATTCCTCCAAATATTAGTCAAGAAAACCATCTTGGTAAATCTTTTCTGAACCCTCTCCAGTTTAATAATATCCTTCCTATAACAGGGCAACCAGAACTGCACCCAGTACCTCATAAGTTATTGCTGGATTCTTAATTCTGGTTTGTTGGATTATAGAAATCATAATTGCTTTTGTTCTAATGAAAATCATAAGAGGGACATATTGTAAAGTTTCCCTGTTTTTTTGTGCTTGAAATAGTTAATCTTTGACTTTCCGACTTTATTCTTTCAGGTACACTCTGAAGGTGCTGTCAGATCTTGGAGATGGATCTAAGGTGACAGATGAAATTATTATAAAATGGGTAAATGAAACTTTAGCAAAAGCGAAGAAAAGAAGCTCAATTACTAGCTTCAAGGTAAGTGCAAACTATAAGAAATTTTATGTTAATGAATTTGGCTTTATGAATATACAAAATAGGAGCTGAAGTTGACTGTTTAGCCTCAAGCCTGTTCTGCCATTCAATAAGATAATGGCTGATCTGTTTTGTGTTTAGAAATTCACAATGCCCTCTATCCCTTAAAAACCTTTTTGTTTTTTTAGGAAAGAGAATCAATCTGCCTTAAAAATATTTAATGGCCCCACTTTCAAAGATTTCTGAGCCAGAGAGTTCCAAAGTTGCACAACCCTCTGAAATAACCCCCTCTCATCTCTGCTGTAAAAGGGCTATCCTTAATTTTAAAACAGTGCCCCTAGTTCAAGAGTAAAGATCTTTTCCACATCAATCTTGTCAAGACCATTCAGGATTTTACACACTTTAATCAAGTCACTCCTTGTTCTTCTGACCTCTGTGGAAACTAGCCCACGGAGTCCAATCTTTTCTCATAAGACAATCCATTCATTCCAGGTATCAATCTAGTAAATCTCCTCTGAACTATGCCCAATGCACCTACATCCTCCCATAAGTGAGGGGGCTAAAACTGCTGACAAAGATAGTAGGAACTGCTGATGCTAGAGTCTGAGATAACAAGGTGTGGAGCTGGACGAACAGAGCAGGCCAGGCAGCATCAGAGGAGCAGGAAAGCTGACGTTTTGGGTCTGGACCCTTTTTCTGAAAAAGGGTCCAGACCCGAAATGTCAGCTTTCATGCTCCTCTGATGCTGCCTGGCCTGTTGTGTTCCTCCGGCTCTACACCTTGTTATCTAAAACTGCTGACAGTATTGTGTCTTAAGTAGTTTACTAGTAAGGCACCTTATCAAATGCCTTCTGAAAATCCAAATATATTCATAGAATCCCTACAGTTTAGAAGCAGCCCATTCGGCCTATCGAGTCCACACTGACCCTCCGATGTGCGACCCACCCAGACCCACCCTGCTACCCTATCCCCATAACCCTACATTTTCCATGGCTAATCCACATAGGGTGCACATCCCTGGACACTGTGGGTAATTTAGCATGGCCAATCCACTTAATCTGTACGTCTTTGGACTGTGGGAGGAAACTGGAGCGTGTGGAGGAAACTCACGCAGACACATGGAGAATTGTGCAAACTCCACACAGGCAGTCATTTGAGGCTGGAATCAAACCTAAGTCCCTGGCGCTGAGAGGCAGCAGTGCCGCCCCAGCGTAAAGCTTGGAGGATGAGGGCACATCCACTGGTATTGTAGTGGATTACATCCACTACTTCCCCTTTATCCATCCTGCTTATTTTCTTTTCAAAGAATTCTAATAAATATTAACAGAGGAAGCAGCAACGCAGATCAGCAGCTCCATCAGCAATGACAACACACTCAAACTACTAGACCTGTGCCTCACCACACACGTCTTCTTTAATGGTCAAGTATACAAACAGATCAATGGTACACCTATGGGGTCATCCATCTCAGGACTCATCACAGAAGCAGTCATTGCAAAGACTAGAGCACACCACCCATCCCCACATTCAACCTAAACTGTGGATGTGGTACGTAGATGACACATTTGTCATTATTAAATGCAACAAACTAGAAGAGACCCACCACCTCATCAACAACATATTTGCAGGGATTAAATTCACAAGAGAAGAAGAAAACAACAATCAGCTTCCATTTCTAGACATCAGAGTTGTGTATGACCAATGGGGAGTTCCAAACCTTAGTATACAGAAAAGCAACCCACGCTGATCAAATCCTCAACTCCCTAACCCTAACCCTAACCCTATCGCAGCAACCAATCCAATGTCCACAACAAAGCAGCATTAGGACGCTATTTAAATGGGCCACGACTCTCTGCAGCACCCCAGAACTACGCAGGAAAGAGGAAGAGCACCTATACAAAATCTTCGCTATGAACCGATATCCCCGCAACTTAATCCACAGGTGCCTACTAAACAGACAAGAGGACACAGACGCCCTAACACACTGGCCACACTGCCCTACATCAAGAACATGTCAGAACTGACAATGAGACTTCTGAGACCACTAGGAGTCATGGTAGCACATAAGTCCACAGCCGCTCTACAACAAACACGCACAAGAATTAAAGATCCCATTCCCACAACATGCAGAACCAACGTGGTTTACAAAATACCATGCAACGACTGCCACAAACATTACATTGGACGGACAGGAAGGAAACTAGACATCAGAATACATGAACATCAGCTAGCAGCAAAATGACACTACGAACTTAATCTCAGTACACCCAGACAATGAAGGCCATCAGTTTAACTGGGACAATGTAACTATAGTAGCCCAAGCCAAATATAGACACGCACAGGAATTCCTAGAAGCATGGTTCTCAACCCGTAATGCAATCAACAAACATACAGAATTAGATCCCATATACAAACCTGTACAGATCAAAACCAGAAATGACACTACTCGCCACAACAGCCCAGACAGTATGAATTCCAAGCAGAATAGAACAACATCACTTCATCGGAGGCCTCACTGATGATGTTACCTAACATGGTAACAAAACGTCTGAACGAAAACAAGCCAGCTCAGCGAGCAAGTCAACAACCTCACCCACAACCCGAGCTACAAATCTTTGCTAAAACTTTAATTCTAATAAATTCAGCAGGCATGATTTCCTCTTTATGAAGCCATGCTGACTCTGCGTGATCGCATTATGCACAGAATCACAGAGTACAGAAGAGGCCCTTTAACCCATTAAGTCTGTACCATCTTTACGTCTTTTATAGTAGACAAACATTTTCCAACAACAGACGTGAAGCTAACTGGTCTGCTTTTTGTCTCTTTCTTTTTCCCTTTTTAAATAAAAGTGTTACATTTGGCAATTTTCCAGTTCTCTGGGACTTTTCCAGAATCTAAGAATTCCTGGAAAGTTACTACCAGTTCATCCACTATCTCTGTAGCTGCGTCTTTTAATATTCTAGGATGCATGTCATCAGGTCCAGGGGATATATCAGTCTTTATCCCCATTCTTTTCCTAGCACCTTTTATCTAGTGGTAGTTATTGTATTTATTTTCTGTCCTTTTGCCCCTTGAATATTTAATAATTTTGGGACGCCATTAATGCCTTCTGCTGTGAAGTCTGATGCAGAGTATCTATTTAACTCCTCTGCCATTTCCTGGTTTCCCATTATTATTTTCGCAGCCACATTCTGTAAGGGGACGAGGTTCACTTTTGGCTTCTCTCTTCCTTTTTATAGGTTTAAAGAAGTTCTTGCTGTCCTCTTTTTGATATGACTTGCACATTTACTCTCAAAGTGTATTTTCTTCCTCCTTTTGTTATTTTTTTGATTGTCTTTTGTTTTAAAATTTTCCTAGTTCTCTGGCTTACTACTAATCGGTGCCACATTATATGTTTCTTCTTTCAATCTTAACTATCCTTAATTTCCCTGGTTAACCATGGTTGGCTATCTCCATTGTAGAATCCTTCCTCCTCACTGGGATATATCTTTGCTGTGAACCATGATCTGTTTTCTTAAATGTCTGCCATTGTACCTCAAGTGTCTTTGTTGCTAAACCCCTTGCCCACTCCACTCCAGCCAGCTCTGCCCTCATTCTTTTGTAATTACCCTTATTTAGGTTTAGCACAGTTGTTTCCGACCCAAGTTCTTCCCCCTCAAACTGAATGTTAAATTCTACCATGTTGTGGTCACTGTTTCTGAGAGGAGCGTTTATACTGACATCATTTATTAAGTCTGCCTCATTACACATCACTAGATCCAAAATGACCTGTTCCTTCATTGGTTCCATAACACAATGTTCTAGAAACTGTCCCAAACACACTTTATGAATTCTTCCATGTGGCTTCCTCTGTTAATCTAACTATTCCAATCTAAAGAAGATTAAAGTCACCCATGATTAATATACTGCCTTTGTTACATGCCCTCATTATCTGACTCACCACATAGCTACTGTGAGGGGGCCTAAAGAATACTCCTATCAGTGTCGTCTTGCCCTTTCTGTCTCTTATCTCTACCCATATGGATTCTACATCTTTCGATTCACTATCATTTCTTGCTTCTTATTTATTTCATCTGGAAACAATAATGCTACCTCACCATTCCTTCCTTCCTGCCTGTCACTTTGAAAAGTCATACACCCCTGAATATTTCATTCCCAGCTTTGAGTTCCTTGTAACCATGTCTCTTCAATAGCTATAAGATCACGCACGTTAACCTGTATTTGTGTGGTTTATTTATCTATTTTGTTCTGAATATTATGTGCTTTCAAAATAGATGAATTAACCATATGATCGTACAGCCATGGCTCTCTAATGGCTCTAAGAGGATCAGAGCTTGAGGCTGGATGGTTGAACGTACAGCTGCCCATGGTGGGATGAAGGAAGGTGGAAATGACAAGGCTAGAACTGGGAAAGAAACATTTTCCAGAGGTCGTAGGACTGGAGGACATTACAAAGATAGAAAGGGGTAATGCACGAAGGGTTTTGAACATAAAGAGGAAAAATGTTTGAAGTGTTTATGAAACTGGGATCAACACGTATCAGTGCATACAGGTAATGAACAAACAGAACCAGGTACAAAGCAAAGAAAACATTGACTCAGAAGAAGTTGAGGATAATGAGGAAGGGATTCTTGAGGTTTGAATGAGGCACTGATGGTGATAGATGACTTGACAGTGGTTTATTCTTCATAAAAGACCCACTAGAACTGGAAATTCATAAAGCCAGAAGGTTTGCTGTGCACTACATGTTCTGTGTTAATTCATCTGTGTTGAAGCTAAAAGATGGTGAAAGGTTTAATGCTCGTTTTGCACTAGAAGAGAATTTGAAACTTTTAAAATAAATCCTAATTCCTTACAATGTAAATAAAACTTGCTCCAATATGGGCATCTAATTTTGTATTTCAAGATATTATCCTGTATTCATCATTCCTGTAAGATATAAACATTTTTAGGTAAATGAAGAAGTTTGTTATACACAGGTCATCTTTTGTTACATCCTATTTTATAGAAATTGTTGTTGTACCATAATTTGCAAGATTGTCTTGAGTGGTTGCAATTAAACTGGTTCCACTGTATCATCAACCTTTTATTTGAAGATTTTGTTGTTTATCCTCCAGGATAAGTGCATTTGCACCAGTTTGCCTGTTATAGACTTGATAGATGCCATTGCACCTAATACGATTCGCTACGAGCTCGTGAAACAGACTGATTTCTCAGATATTGACAAGTTGAACAATGCTAAGTAAGTTTGATGTTCGTGAATAGAAATTCCTTCTGCTTTACTTTATTACAGTTACTTTAAATAATTATGTGTTGAATTTCAGGTATTTTTAGGGCTATTATGTTGGCTAAAGGTAAAACTAGGTAAATTCTGGTCAGGTTTACACAAATTTTAAAAAAGACTTGCATTTGTACAGTTCCTTTCAGGATCACCATACATCCTAGACTGCAATACAGCTTATGAAATACTTGAGAAGTGTCATCAGTGTTTGCAATGTAGGAAACTGCCAATTTGCTGACAGCTAGCTCCCATGAAAATACACTCACCAGATAATCTGTTTTGTGATGTTGTCTGAGGAATAAATTTTGGCCAGAGATGGTGCAGTGTGCGGTGGTGGGAGGTGGGTGTGGGGGGTAGAGAGAGAGACAACTCCACTGCTCCGCTGTGGAATAGTCTCAGGATTTTTTACATCCTCCTGAGAAGATATACACTCTCAGTTTAAGGTCTTATCTGAAAAACGGCACCTAATAGCTATTAGGTGTCCTTTTGATTCTCTGTATTTTTATCCACCAGATTTTCTTGCATTAAACTAAAACAAAATTCAACAGAATTGATGTGAGTATTTCATCCAGCCTTTCTACAGGAGAAAATGCTGCTTGAAATGCAATTACCATCTCCTGTCTCCCCATCTCCCAAAGTCAATTTAGTATGAATGATGAGGTAGACAGATATTTTATTTTAAATTGTTTCTACTGTTTTAAGAGTTGCAATTTGATTTTGTTGCTTAAGCTTGAGTTGGAGTTACTGTTTCTCCTCATTAATTTTTGTAGTGGTAATTCAGTTCTGAACTAAAATGTCAGAGAAAAGATTTTATAGTTAGAGTGTGGAAAACAGTTAATAAAATGTTCAAGGAATCAGTATCACGGATGGGAAACTCTCCACTATATAATTTCCCACTTGAAAGCAACGCATATCATTGCAAACAAGATGCACTGTGCGAAATGTGGAGTAGGCAAAATTTGGAAGCTGCAATGCAGGGATGAGAAACAAAAAAGTCTGTCTACAAGTAGCACTTGTACTCTTAATTGAATATTCCTTTATGATGTGCTTGTCTCTTTCAGATATGCCATTTCAGTAGCACGAAAGATAGGCACTCGTGTTTATGCATTGCCTGAAGATCTGGTGGAAGTGAAGCCAAAGATGGTTATGACTGTCTTTGCTTGCTTAATGGGAAAGGGATTGAAAAAGGTGTGAAGAGAACTGAGCACCTTGTTCACATTAATCCTGTCTGCCATATCAAACCAATTCAGCATCCTGTAATTCATACAATTATCTGTCATTCTATTTTTGATCTGTTTTTAGCAGAGAATATCATTGGGAACAATTTCAGAAGCAAAATACTAACTGGAAATCATTTTCATTTCTCATCACTAATTTACTATCTGTGTATTTTAAATGTTCCTGTATTTAATTTTCCATGTTGCTGTTAAGATTAAAACTCTCACTAATTTCTGTTTGTTATTTATACTGCATCATACACCAGACAATTTTGTGTATTTCCTGCAATGCTTACAATGTAAAACATGTCCAAAGTTCTTGTACTTGAGCATATTTGTGATTGACCTGCTTTTTGAAAATAGCTGCTGTTTTGTAAATGACTTCTATTATCATCAAATTGCAAATATTTAAATATGTAAAATTGGTTTTATGGAAGGAATCCGAGTTGTAATTCAATCTGTGGTTCTCTTGGAGTTACACGATCTATTTTTGGTTTAACCAGTTTGAGTGTCTGCAGTGCCCTGAGATTGAATTGCAACTTTTAACTTCCGCCAGAATTTCTTTTCTGTGATAACTATATCGTTGCCGTTTAGTCATTGAGTTATTGAGAAGATGCAGTAGTGCCACCCAAACACATGGCTGCAAATAGTCATGTAGCAGTGTTCACAAACTTATACAGTGTTGGTCACAATCGCCACAAAGCTGAATAATGTAGAATTCATATGTGACTAAAAACTTTAATTCTAATAAATCTATAACCCATTTGATAAGAGATTACATGCATGAATCAACATTTCTATGAATTGCAAAGCTGATCTTTACATCACAGTCTTATATTCATTATTGTGATAATTAAACTATTTTCTTTCACCAGAGTGAAAACATTCAGAAACTTGTAAAATTCACTTTGCTCCGAGGTGAAATTTGGGGGAAAAAAAATTTGACTAAATATGCTTGTGGGGTCTTGTGCACAAAACACAGAAAGCTAGCACACAGGTGCAGCAGGGAATCAGGAAGGCTCATCGAATGTTAACCCTTATTACAAAGGGCTTGGAGTATAAGAGTAGAGAAGTCTTACTGCAACTGTACAAGGTGCTGGGGAGATCACAGCTAGAGTACTGTGAGCAGTTTTGGTCCCCAAATTTAAAGAAAAATATTGTTTAATTGGAGGCAGTTCAGCGAAGGTCCCCTAGGATGGTCCCTGATATGGACAGATTGTTTTTTCAGTAACGGTTAAACAAGTTGAGACTCTACTCACTTCAGTAAAGGAGAATAAGAGGTGATCTCATTGAAACATATTGGATTATTCGGGGACTTGACAGGGTAAATGCTGAGAGGATGTTTCTCACCATGAGAATCCAGGAACAAAGGACATAGTCTCAGAATAAAGGAGCACCAATTCAAGACTGAGATAAGGAAGAATTTCTTCTCAGCCATGATCCTATTGAATGGTTGAGCATTTCTACTACTGTACCTACTACTTATGGTCTTATGATCTTTTAAAACTCATATGGTCCCAAACTAGGATAAGTGTGAGGTTATCCACTTTGGTAGCAAAACAGGAAAGCAGATTATTGTCTGGCTATAAATTGAGAGAGGGGAATGTGCAACAAGACCAGACTGCTCTGATATACCAGTCGCTGAAAGTACGTGCACAAATGCATCAGGCAGTAAAGAAGGAAATGCTATGTTGACCTATGTGGATTTGAATTCTGGAACAAGAATGTCTTGCTGCACTTGTATAGGGCATTGCTGAGACTGCACCTGGAATATTGTGTGCAGTTTTGGTCTCTGTAACTGAGGAAGGATGCTCTTGCGATAGAGGGAGTGCAGTGAAGATTTACCAGACTGATTCCTGGAATGGTGAGATGGACACATGAGGAGAAGTTGAGTCGGTATTCACTGGCGGCAATGAGGGGCAAATCTCTTAGAAACCTATAAAATTCTGACAGGACCAAACCAGACAGATGCAGGAATGATGTTCCCAATGGTGGGGTAGGCCAGAACCAGGGGTCACTGTCTATGGATACGGGGTAGGTCATTTAGAACTGAAATGAGAATAAATTTCTTCACCCAGAGAGTCATGAGCCTTTGGAATTCTCTGCCACAGAAAGCGGTTGAGGCCAAAACATTTTGATTTCACGAAGGAGTTGGATATGGCATTTAGGGTTAAAGGCATTAAAGGAGATGGGATAAACAGGAATAGACTGTTAAATTGGATGATCAGCCATGATCCTATTGAATGGTGGGGCAGGCTTGAAGGGCTGAATGGCCTGTTCCTGCTCCTTTTTTGTACGTTTTGTGTCCAGTGAGACTTCGATTTTATGTTCACATTGTGTAAAAAATTAGTGATTTAAAAATGTGTTGGGCATATTGATTAAAATTGTGTTTGGATCAACTATGTATCAACTTACTTTTGAATGCAGGAAGGGTACTATGTGCAGTTGCTAACACCATAGTATTGTGCTCTGTGCACAGTGCCAATTCGTGAATTGGAATAACTACATGCAGATGTAACTATTTTTGTGGCTCCTATTAGGAGTGTAACTGATTTGGAAATCTGATTCTATTAATGGTTGCACAGCCTCGGGCTCAAATGGTGCAGTGATAATGTGCCTACCTCTGAGCGAAAAGGTCTGAGTTCAACAATTTCCCCTGAGGTTCACTCTAACAGTCTCAACAGCTTGATGAAAAGTATTTATAGTTCTACTGATTTAGCTTCTTTGTGCACTCCATTGTTTTTGATGAGATTTCAATTTTTTTTTTTGAAGGTGTTATTGCAAAGCGTTCAAAATGCATTTACAGCAGGGTGCTTAAATAGAGTCATAGCGTCATATAAAGCATGGAAACCGAGCCTTTGGTCCAACTAGTACATGTTCCAACCATGTTCCCAAACTAAACTAGTCCCACTTGCTTGTGACTTGGGTGGTTTCTATAAGAAGTCTATATTTTGCTCAACATGAATTTTATGTTTCGGTAATGTGCAAATCTTGGCTGATATATTAAAGCTAGCTATGTGAGCTGCTAGAGGTCATTATTGGGTGGATGTGGCACAATTACCTTATTCTAATCAGATAATTGAAAAGTTTTCAATACTGATTTAAAAACCTGCTGAGAACATAAAAACGTGTAGATGCTGGAAATCTGGAACAGAAACAGAAATTGCTGGAGAAACTCAGCAGGTCTGGCAGCATCTGTGGAGAGAGAAACATAACATTTCTAGTCCAGTGACCCATCATCCCTTTCTCTCCACAGTATCTGATTTTGCTGACTCACTAACCTTGTTGTGACACACATTATGGCAATTGATCCATAAAGCTTAAAGCTTTTGCTGAAAGTAGTCTAGCAGCAAGGTTAACATTTAACATGTGAATTGATTTTAAAGTTCTGACCCAGTAGCCTGTTTTTTAAAAAAAGTTATACTTTTAGTTAAAGCTCCATTTCAGTACTGGAAGTTTATTATCTAACTGTCTGATGGAGAATTTAATACAAATGCTTGTTGAAAATCAGGCTGAGTAAACAGTTTTTATAAGGTAAGTGTATGTATTTACAGCAATAGACATCGAAAATAAACAATTTTCAAATTGAAGCCTTAAATAACCCTGTAAATAAAAGGTACCGATAAACAACTGGCCTATTTATCTGTACGACCAATTCACTTTTAATCTTTTTGTTCTTTTTTTTCTAGATCTTCTTTTTAAAAAAAAAAAAAAAAAAAAATTATGCACATATTTAACAAGTGGGCATATTTGAATATTTTAGGAAGGGTGCAGATCTACATACCAGATTCCTGGAACTAAAAATGCCTTTGTTCCCTGACGTGGTTCTTGTTGACTTGTTACCCTTTTTTTTAAACCTAGTTTCTAGTGAAGACCAAGAGAGATGGGGGAAAAGTGATTTTTTCTTTTACAGTATCATCACAGATGTCAATTCTTTTTATTGTTCTATTAAAGATATGCTTTTTGTCCTAGAAAGAAACGTTCAGATCTTGAGCATTTGTAATCTTCTTTCTCTAGTGAGGAAGTCTGTCAAAGTCTAAAGATCTAGTGCATACATTGTCCAAATAATTGTGGACTCCTCAAATTATCAACTAAGAAATTGTCATTTGGTAGTACAGTACTTGTGTATTGCTTGAAAATAATAACTTATTGAAGCTTTTCGTCTTCCACTCATCAGGACAATGTGCAAGAAACACCACCATTTGTACTCAGTTATACACAAAGACACCCTTTGGTCTATCAAGTCTGTACCGCCAAAACTACACTACCTACACTAATTCCACTTTCCAGCACTTTGTTCATAGACTTGAATGTTATGACACTTCAAGTGGTCATCCAAATTCTTTTTAAAAGTTGAGGTTTCCCGCCTCAACTACCCTCCCAGGCAGTGCATTCCAGACACCCACCACCCTCCGGGTGGAAAGGCTTTTCCTCAAATCTCCTCAAAACTTCCTGCATTTCACTTTAAAAGTATTCTCCCTTATTATTGACCCTTTGACTAAGGGGAACAGCTGCTTTCTACTCACCCTGTCCATGTATATCTGGTCTCCCCTCAACCTTGTCTGCTCCAAAGAAAACAACCTGAGTTTATCCAGTTTCTCTTCACAGCTGAAATGCTCCTTCCCAGACACCATCCTGGTCAATCTCCTTTGTACCGTCTTCAGGGAAATCCCATCCTTTCTTTAGTATGGTGACCAGCACTGCACACAGTACTCCAACTGTGGCCTAATCAAAGGCAATACAGCATGGAGCTGGAGGAACACAGAGGGCTAGGCAGTATCAGAGGAGCAGGAAAGTCGACATTTCGGGTTTACACCCTTTAGCTGGACGCTGATTCATCAAAGTTCTGAACAGCTCCAACATAACCTCCTGCTCTTATCAATACCATGGCTGATAAAGGCAAGTATCCCATATACTTTCCTAACTACCCTATTAGCCTGCAGAGATTGTGGGCAAGTATCCCAAGATCTCTCTGTTCTGCTGAGCTTCCTAGTTTACTGCCATTATTTAGTACTCCCATGTCTTATTCCTTTTTCCAAAGTGCATCATGTCATATTTATTGGGATTAAATTCCATCTGACCAATCTATTTGTATCCTCCTGTAACCTAACACCTTCCACCTCTTTGTCAACTAATACAGTATTTGCCAGCTGTAATATATCATACAGAAAATAAAAATATTGCTGCCATTGCCTTCGTTATGTCTCAAATACACAGCTGACTACATTGTAGGACAGATATGGAGCTATGATTTGCAATACATTCTGCATATAAACTGACGTTTTCGCAGCCACCACCAGTTCTGAGGAAGGGTCACTGCACCTGAAACATGAACTCTGTATTTTCCTTCACAGATGCTGCCAGATCTCCTGAGCTTTTCCAGCAACTTTGTTTTTGTTGCACAATTCCACCTGCTTTAAAATTCACCCGAGTCCGAATGAAATTTGAACTGCAATATACGTGGGTGAGAATTTGAACATCTACCCTGAACATTAAAATAACAGTGATTAACTTCACTTAGGAAGGAATCTGCTGGTTTGGCCTACATGTGTCTCCAGACCCACTGCAATGCAGCTGACTCTTAACTGCCCTCTGGCCAATTAGGGATGGGTAATAAATGGTGACCTGGCCAGTGATGACACATTCTGTGAATGAATGAATACTGTACTGAATGAGTCCACAATGACCCTCCAAAAGAGCATCTCACCCAGACCCGTTCCCCTACCCTATCCCTAATATCCTTCATTTCCCATGGCTAATGCACGTAACATACACATCTATGGATAATTTAGCACAGCTAATCCACCTAACTTGCACATCTTTGGACTGTGGGAGGAAACTGGGGCACCTGGCGGAAACCCACACAGCCATAGGGAGAACGTGCAAACAAAACAGGAGAGGATGGTTTCGATCCATCGATCTCTAGGTTATGGGCCCAGCACACTCCCACTGTGCGACAGGTTCAATGACCATCAATAATCATCGCCATCAAATGCTAAAGGGTGACGGTTAGACTGTCTGTCTCAGAGATGGTCATGGCCTGGCACATGTGATGTGAATGCTTGCTGTAGCAATTGGGCTCTGGCAGAAGTATTGCCATGGAGAATGCAACAATTGATGATGATTGACAGTCAACTGCCAATTTTTAAAAAAATCAGATTAGATTATTAGGTCAGGTTATCAAATCAGCCGTGAGCTCATTGAATGATGGAGAAGACTCGATAGGCTTAATGACCTACTTCTGCTCTTATGGTGTTATGGTCGAAGTTTTGTTGAAAACTTCGACAAGCTTGAAGTTGCAAAAGAAAATACATTTTAGCCCAAAACAAAAATAGTTAACTGGATCTGTTAGCCAGAACTACCACTAGAGTCTCATGCATACAGTATTTGTATAACTTCCTCATGACATTTATGGGAACACCAATGGGACAAACTTCTTCAGAGAACTTTTTTTGATTTGAGTTAATGAAAGAAACACAAAATAAGCAGTTAAATCTTTACCATTAGTGATGACGTCTGTAGTATTCTGTCTGGAATTGGAAAAATTAATCAATTTTCTTTCCAATTTCTACACTGCTCTCACCTTCACCTGGTCCATCTTGGATTCCTCCATTCCCTTCCTGGTCATCTCTGTTTTCATTTCTGGGAATAGACTGGCCACCAATATCCACTATACACCCACAGACTCCCACAGTGATCTCAACTAATACATCTTCAGCCTTGTTTCCTGTAAAGTCTCTCTTCTATTCTCTTACCGTAAAGCTAATTTTGTACACAATTAGCAAGGTCACCCTGAATCCCACGTCATCTAACTTTACTAATTAGTCTATCAAAGGCTTTACTAAGATCCACATAAGCAATGTCTACTTCTGTGCCCTCATCAATATTTTTGGTTACTTCCTCAAAAAACTCAATCAAGTTTGTAAGACATGATTTCCCTCGCACAAAACCATTGCTGACTATCCCTAATCAGTCCTTGCCTCTCCAAATGCATGTAAATCCTATCTTCCAGAATCAACACCAACAACTTACCCACCACCGATGTCAGACTCACAGGTCGATAGTTCCCAGGCTTCTCCTTACAGCCTTTCTTAAACAAAGGCACAAGATGAGCTACCCCCCCAGTCCTCATGCACCCATTTCTGATTTCGTTTGGAATATTCTGTACTAATTTTGAACATTGGTTTGACCTTTCTGTAAGGCATTAATTGTAGCTTTATTCCTTTTAAACTCTCATGTACAATGAGTTAGCTGTCCAAGTCCATCATGATACTATATTCGTGCCTGAAGCTGGAAAACAACAATTCATCATTTGAAAACAAAAATGACACCAAGAATGTGAATTTTGGCTTGGTAACACCACCTTGCTGATTCTGCTGTCCATCATCAAGGAGGTGTA